TGGTAGGCATTCTTTGTATGCCACAGATGCTTGGGAGCCTTCGCCCGATCCTTACCGACCTAATTGTGAAAAGTCAGCGCCATCTGGTGGATTCTGGGTGGTTTCTTCACTATATTGTGTTGCGTGTGTGTCCTGTGACTCTCATCTAAAATCGTCACTCCCGATCTAATCTATGCCACCAGTGAATAAAGCCCCTCCTTCCAAGGATCTGTGGGCCGGTTGAGATATCCCTATGCCTAAAGTAGACGAGTCTGTCGAAGTGTAATGGCCGAAAACCCAAAGTTGCCCTATTCAGGCAAGGGGAGGTTACTAGACAGGCGACTCAGCAGGCAGTGGCAGCAATTGTTCTCATTGGCCGTGTCCGTCCGGGCATGCAGTTTGTGCCTGCACCTGGGCCTTGTACGGCTGCGACCAATCAATACAGACAAGAGTACCGATCGGCGCCACGACGTCGGCGAGCCGAATGTTGAGTCATACGCGCGCGAGCAGCGGCTGACAGGTGTGCCAAACATACCGAGGGCGGCGTGAGTAAGCGGCCGCATTGTCGACCGCGAGAGCGGACCGCTATAAGTTCTTGCGCGCTGGGCAAGAGAGGTTTCCCGTCCAGTCACGAGGGCCATGGAGAGGCGAACTCAGCTCGCGCCTCATTCAGCGGTCAGTTGACTGCAGCAGTGGATGTAGCCATGGTTCTGGGGACCTACCTTGTCGGTAAGACTTCTCAGAAACTAATTGGCCAGAACGTCAAGGTAGAAGGAAAATTGTCATTTCTTTCGAAAACAAAACGCGGATGGACTGAGGAAGGGCATGCTCGTGCGACTTTACATATTCTCCGTCTTCAGACAACAGAGACAGAGAGGGTCCAGTAGGTCAAGCAGTTGGGGAGTTTGATTGTCTGCTGCATTAATAACCATCGAACGTCCGGCGGATTCGCATCGAGTTCGGAAACGTCCGCCTGTTTAAATCTGCATCGAATTCAATTAATTAATCGAAGTGCGAGAATCTCCTGTACGAACCGGTCACATGTCGACCTTGCAAGAACCTGTCCGTCGTATTACAACTCGCACATCACTGTCACTAGGGTTTAGTTAGTCAGCTCTAGCGCAAATATTTGATGTATCTTCCCAATTCCTTCATGACGCGACACTGTGCTCCTTTTTTCTACATTAAACAGAATGTGATTCGCGACTTTTTTCGGGGAAATAGACCAAATTTCAAAAAGAACAACTTTCATCCTACTCACCTTTTGTAATGAGAGTCAGTGCACTGTCTCAGTCATCTTGTCGAGTAACACAAAAAACACATTTGTAAACAGTGCTCCAGCGGGTTATGAAAACAGTGAGCGCTGTTCGATTAAAGGAAATTATGTTTGCAATGGATCCCCTCTCATGAGACAGTTGTTGCGAGACTCTGCTGTAGGTCCTCCTGCCTGATTAGGACACTAAACGACTATAAGATCATCTTCGACGACTAAAAGGTGGCTGCCAAGAACTTCAGAGCACAACTGTCTTATGAAAGTCTGCTTCATATATCTAGCCCAGGCAGGGCGAAGTCAAATGTACAGCCAGGTGCGTATTTGACGACATTTTTGTGAAGATTTGGATTATGTGGGGCACAGCCGGTACAAGAAGAAAGAATATCCGCTCATTGGAGTCGAATTAAATCCGGCCCGTACCGAAACTCCTCCCAAATCTGGATTTCTGAAACATGTTTTCACTCCCCTCGGTTCATTTGGATCATTTCTGATCTAAGATACATGGCCGTACAGCCAGTGGGGTCACGAGTTAAGGTACGAGCCTCGGAGTCTGACTGGCAGTCGATCGCTGAAAACAGCACAAAGCCTATCATAATCAAGGGCGATGGGCGTGAAGGAACAAGGGGATGACGACAGCGACGATTATGACGGCGATGCTAGTAGTAGTAGTAGTAGTAGTAGTAGTAGTAGTAGTAGTAGTAGTAGTAGTAGTAGTAGTAGTAGTAGTAGTAGTGTGGCGGTCAGCCATTATGACCGGTCTGGTGTTCAAGGCCATACACCCTTTTGCAGTGAGCCGTTCCAGACGCGCTGAGCTGAAGTCACACGACCGGCAGCTCGGGCATGATTGCGTCCGCACAGGCGCAGCTGCCTATGCGGCCACTTGAACACACCCCACCCCTGCAAGCACAACTTAAGCCACTGGGACACCACCCCTCGGCAAACGCAACACACACTGACTGGACACCATTTGAGCTTGGCCCACGAGCTTACAAAAGCCGTTGTCACTCAGGGACTGGACGCAGCCAACACCAGCCCTGGCTTCGCCCTTGGCCACTGCCGCCTGAGAGTACAACTCCGGGTTCTGTGCACAATAAACCCCTCATTCTGGGGCCTTTCTGTCTTCTTCCATAACTTGGGATCTGACCCACTGATGGTAGCGCACAGACAGGGTCCAAATTCTTCCTGCCTATTGAAAGCAGTAGTAGTAGTAGTAGTAGTAGTAGAAGAAGAAGAAGAAGAAGAAGAAGAAGAAGAAG